ATATCAATAAAATAGAATGGGCAAAGCAGCAAAAGAATAAAAACAAAAAATCAAGCAATTTAACTTTAAATGTATATAATATTGTTACCTGATTCACGATATCATTATTGAAAATGCCCTCATTGTTTGAAGCCAGAGAGAATGTCGAGTATGAAATAGTTGGATTTTGGAGAAGTCGCGAACTTAACTAGAGGTCTAGGTTCTGATTTAGTGTGAAAGTTATTGGAGGTTTTGAATGTAATTAGTGGGGTTTTTTTTATTATTCTTTTTTAAATAAAAAGGAGGGAATATAAAATTTATTTTTGGCTCCCCTAAAGAGCCGGGCTTGAGGCGACTGCCTCTCTTCAGATCCGACTATGGCTAAAGGGTGCGTTTGGCATATTGGACTTAACATGAATGTAGGTCCGTTTGATAGGGTGTCTGTTTTTATTTCTTCTTCTTGTAAAAGAGTTTTTTGAAGAAGTTACTTAAGTTATTTTTTTATAAAAGCTCTTATAGGCAGAAAATGAGTATGTTTTACACGACTTTTGTAAAATCAAAATGAGCTTTTGAGACCCAAATTATGTTTCTGAATTTATTTGGTTAATTTTATAAAATATATTTTCAAATTAGAAGAGATTTTAGTGAAATCTGGTCCACTATGACTTCCTCTAAAATTTCTTCTAAAAGAGAGAAACTTTTTTAGAAATTAATTTCTAAATATTAAATAAGGTATCATCTTAGAAAACTCTTCTACTAAAAAAAGAAGTTGAAACCTTGCCAAACAAGCTTGACGCAATTCTAGAAAATTATTTTAAAAAGTTTCAAAAGCAACTTTTTAATCTTAGAAACAACTTTTGGCTTTTTAAAAGTCCTATTAACACGAGCTGTAATAAAATTTCGAAATTTTCTTATTTAGTTATACATTTAAATCAATGTAATAATTAGTAAACATGCTGGTAGTTTAGTTGTATTTGTTTTACATATTGTATTATTATTTATTACACTCGAAATAGGACATTCTAACATGCAAAATAAATAGAAATATACAAACAATTAAAAAAAATGAAAATAAAAATTTATAATCAGAAAAAAAAAAAAGAATAAAAAAAGTGAGATGAACAAAACTGTCGGCTATACGCGTTGAAGGTTTGGCGGCTTCGGAGCCTAAACTCATACTTTATCTTTTCTAGTCCACGGTCCACCCGTCATTATCCATACATTGAACCGTCTGAATGATACAAATTACTCGTGTCGTTATCATTTTTTAGGCCTCTTGTGCACCATAAGATCAGGACAGGGACACGATGTTACACCAGATTTTCTGGACTTTATTATTGTATAACTTTGTTAAGAATGGTATCTTTGACAAATATATATATTCAGTATTATTTTTTCTCTTTACACCTAATTTTATGTTTAATATGAAAATTGCTAGATGTTTTGAGTAGGTCTGGACATGATCCGATTAGCTTCGATTTTGAATAGCATCGAACCGAA